AGAGAGAGAGAGAGAGAGAGAGAGAGAGAGAGAGAGAGAGAGAGAGACAAGGAGAAGAAAAAGAGCAGAGACAGAAAGAGACCCAAGAGATGACAGCAAGGAAAGTCCCAGGCACAGTACAACCACCAAAGCTTACGGACCCCCAAGAAAACTATTTCGGGAGAAATAGCTGAGCAGTCCCACTTCCTTCCTTTCTCATCACCACCTGACCCCTATTTTCAACTATAGTGGAGCCAGCAGGAGTCAGACCTGAGCCAGTTGCCAAACTCTGGAGGAAGACTTTCAGTTTCCTGAGAAGTGGACTGGACTTCCCAAAGCAGAACGTGGGGGTCAGGCGGGGCGTGTTTCAGAAGGCATCTGCACTCCTATCTAGCCTGACCTCGCAGAGACACAAGCAAAGGGTGACAGAAGACCCAAGATTTGGGAGGCTGCTGTTCACACCCCAGCAGTGACAGGTGAGAGAAAGACAGTGGAGAAGAGGGCAGGAAGGACTCTGAGAGACCAACAAGTACCCTGAGAAATGGGCAGAAGCAGGGAGAGAGACTCAGAGAGATGGATAAGGAGAGAGATGGATAAGGAGAGAGATGGGCAGAGGCAGGGATCCAGTGATGGGCCAGCAGTGAGGTTCAGACGTGGCCAGGGACAGGGATTCAGAAGGGTGGACGAGGAAAGAGCTCGGAAGACACGAATTGGGGCAGGTGTCTAGAAAGATAAAGATGAACTCCAGACAGAGAAAAACCCAGAACATGGATGAGCAGAGCTGGAAATAGAGATAAGTAAAGCCCTCCCATTCAGGGCTATGCAGGATGGAGGGGGAGAGGAAGGCAGTATTAGCGGGGGCAGGAGTCTGGCTGAGGGGCTCACAGCTGTGGCTTTTCTCCTCAGCCCCAGTTTCATCTCCATCTTGCTTCCGAGTCATGCGCTGGTGGGGTGAGTATTCTACAGGTGGCTGGGGAAGGAGGGTTCTACCCCTGCCAAGACTGTGGGGCAAAAGGCTCTGCCTCCCTAAGGCATACCCCCTCCTTTCCTGGTTTCTCCCCTTCCCAGGTCTGTTCCTTCTCCTAGACCTCACCAGAGCCAGTGAAGCAGATGCTGGGGATGACCCCTTCCTGAAATGCTTCCTGGATCCAGACTACAGGGAGCTAATGGACATTGTGAGCCACGGTCTCAACCAGACGACGCGGCCCCAGCGGGTGGTGGTGGTGGGGGCCGGCATAGCCGGGCTGGTGGCAGCCAAGGTGCTGGAGGATGCTGGACACAAGGTCAGGCAAGCCAGCTCCAAGACCCCGAGCCCCTAGGCACTTTCTGAGCTTTGGGGCCCCCATCTGTCAAGTGGTGGAGGCACACTGGGGAAGCCCCAAGACCCCTTTCGGTTCTAAACTCCACATTCATTTCATGTGGGGGAGGGAAGGAAGCCACCATCATCAACCTGGTCTGCATGCAAACATCTGGAAAGAGACTCACCCATCCCAAGGCATTTCCCTGAATCTGTAGGAAAGTCCCACACAAACCTAACTGCCAACGGCCAGCGTCTGTCAGAAAGCCAGCCTCTCACTTCTGCAGACTTCGGAGGAATGAAACTCCACTCTTCCCACCTGAGGGGGAAGCACCATCCCTTTCACTAAAATCCAGACGTGAGGACAGGCTGGGGCAAAGGCTCCCATGTTGTAGGAAATCCCTTTCCTGTGGCCATGCTGTTTCCTCACCCGGCAGTCCCTAAGTCAAAATTCCTGCTTGACCATGACCCTGGATACCGCCCAAACAAGGGTCAGGGCATAGGGTGCGGGGCTGGGTAGTTGCACTAACTACCTCCACTCCCAGGTAACTCTGCTGGAGGCCAGCGACAGAATCGGGGGACGGATTCTGACATACAGAGATGAAAAGACAGGCTGGCTAGGAGAACTGGGGGCCATGAGGATACCATCCAACCACAGGTACAGAGCAGCCCCTGGTTCTGACCCTGCCTCCATCACTCAGCCCATCACTGGATCCTAACTACAGGGTCTGTGTCCCTTGATTGCCCCTCAGGATTCTCCTAAAGCTCTGTACCCGCCTAGGCCTCCCCCTGGCTCAATTCATTCAGTCTGACATGAACGCGTGGACTGAGGTGAATGGGGTAAAGCTACGGAACTTCGTGGTCGAGGCAGCGCCCGAGAAGCTGGGCTACCCCCTGCAGCCCTCTGAGCAAGGCCGGTCACCAGGGGCCATTTACCAGATGGCCCTAGATAAGGTATGCCCAGAGCCTGGGCTCAGCTCCAGGGACAGAAGGCACCTAGTTCACCTCACCCCCCATTTTACAAAGGAGGCCGAGGCCAGAGAAATGATCCGCCCAGGGCACAATGGGCCCCTGGGTTGTATTCACAGATCCTGGGGCTCTAAGCAGCCACATGGAGGAAGTGATGGCTAGCTGTTTCCCCGACCAAGCATCCCCATATCCATGACAACACAGGCCCAGCCCTCCAACCCTGTCGCCCCCCACATGCTTGCGGGAGGGGTTCCTCATCTGTACCAAGGTCCCTTCCAGCTGATGCCCATACCATGGAATGGGGCCAGGGACCTGGCCAACAGCTCCCCAAGGCCAGGTCAGGGCTGGAGGTGGGCTCCCAGGTGAGCGGTGCTGGAGAATGAGAGAGAAGGAGTCCTAGGTTTGGAAGCATTAGAGTAGGGCCCAAAACCTGGATGATCTTGAGCAAACTACTCCCCTCTGTGGGCCTCCAACGGAGGTCCCTCGGTTCTGCATTTGATAAGACAGGACCCAACCACAGAGTCTCTGGGCAAGCAGCACAGAGCAGGGCACACGTGGGACCAGGGCCCCGGAGGATGTTGTAGGAGGGTCAGAGAATGGGGCAGGGAATGTGGGATGGGGAAAGCTAGGACAGGATGGAGCACAGGGCGCCATCTTGTGTCCTTACTCTGTCTTAGGCCCTCTATGACCTCAAGCACCTGGGCTGCTCCCGGATGATAAAGAAATTTGAAAGCTACACCCTTCTGGTAAGCGGGCTTGGAGACCCCAGCCACCCAACTCCCATTCACCCTCCTTCCAGTCCCACTACCCTACTGCCCAGCCTCGGTGGCTGGCAGGGGTCTTGGCCCAGAGGGCCCCAAGGAGAATACTGCTCCCAAGCAGCTGGTGGCCAAGCACCAACTGGGAAACCCCTAGTTTCTGGGGGCTCTGTGGTAACTGGCGCTACATCCTCCATATTCCTGGAGAGGACAGGAAGGGGAAAGCAGGTGGGACACCCAGACAGAAGCCAGACAGCAGGAGCGAGGGAAGATGAGACAGATCCTGGGTTCCAGGCTCTACAGCTGCAAGGGAGGGCCTAAAATGCTAATGAGTCTAACCCCAGCCCAGCCCCAGGCCCTCATCTACATGATGAGCTGAGGCCCAGGGTGGCTGTGATTTTGCCAGAGGGGCACAGACAGGAACCAACTTCCAATATGGTTCTTTCCACTGAACCATGTAGCTGAGGGGGGAGGGGGGATAGGAGATGGGAGAGGGAAGGAAGGAGGAGGGAAAGAGGAAGGGGGGGTGGCAGACGTGCGGCAGTGTGGAGACAGCAAGATGGGAGAAAGCAGGGGCGAGGAGGGAGACAGACGCCTGCTGAGGTCCACAGATCTCGTTGCTGGAAATGGCCCCGGGAGAAGCCTATGGGAGTAGAGGGCCCCCTCACCAGAGCTCCCCGAACCCAGGTGTCATTCACAGAGAGGAAGTACAGTAAGGTAGCCCACTGACCACTAGACTCAGCACCAATAAGATCGGAGCTCCGATTCTGCCCGAGTCACTTAGCAGTTCTGTGACCCTTCCCCAGCTCACCCCGATGCCTCGGTTCCCTCAACTGTCCAATGAGGCCGGACAGCCTCGAAGCTTCTCCCAGCTGGGTCTGGGACCCTATAAACAGGCAGCCCCACAAAGCAGGGTGTGAGGACTTGGTGCTGGAAAACATCGGGGAGGGATTGGTCCAAAGCCACTGACTGCAAGGAGCAGGGCCAAGATTCAAACCCAAGGCTTAAAGGGCCCGAGGATCAGAAGCCATCCAGGCCCCGCAAGGCAGGTCACACAGGGTCAGCACAGATGTGCTTGGGCATCCCCTTTGACCCTGCCCAGGAGGCTGGGAACAGACCAGGGGCTAGCCAAGGAGGTGGCGTGAGCGCTTCAGTCCCTGCCTGCCCCCTCCCCCCAGGACTACCTCCTAGGAGAAGGGAACCTGAGTTTGGCCGCCGTCCACCTCCTGGGAGACGTGCTGGCCGAGGACGGCTTCTTTTCCCTGAACTTCGCGGAGGCCTTGCGGGCCCACAGTCACCTCAACGACAAGCTCAGGTGCATACAGGGAAGGGGCAGGGGAGGGCTGGCGACGGCCTGCTCTAGGCCCCCACCCACCAGCCTCTGCTTCTGTGCCCCAGGTACTGGCGCATCCGCAACGGCTGGGACCAGCTGCCCCGCGCCCTCCTGCTTTCCCTGAGGGGCCCGGTCCTGCTACAAGCCCCTGTGGTCCAGGTGTCCCAGAATCGGAAAGGCGCCTCCATCCTCTACCGTGACCCCCGGCAGCCCTCACGCCTGCTGTCCCTGGCCGCTGACCGCATCCTGCTGGCCACCACCGCCACAGCCCTGAGCCACATTGATTTCCAGCCACCACTCCACCCTGCCCTCCGCCGGGCACTCCGCAACACCCACTATGTTCCAGCTACCAAGATCTTCCTCAGCTTCCGGAAGCCCTTCTGGGAGGACGAGGGCATCGTGGGCGGCCACTCGGCCACTGACCGCCCAATCCGTGCTCTCTACTACCCTCAAGGCGATGGGGGGGAAGCCGGTGGCCTCCTCCTCGCATCCTACACGTGGTCAGACGCCACGGCGGCCTTCACAGGCCTGGGGGAGGACGAGACCCTGCGCCTGGTGCTGCGGGATGTCGTTGCCCTCCACGGGGAGAAGGTACGGGAGCTCTGGGACGGGCGAGGAGCCGTGATGCGCTGGGGGGAGGACCGCTACAGCCAGGGCGGCTTTGTGATGCAGACCCCGCAGCCCAGGCCTGAGCAGGAAAAGCCTTGGCACTGGGACTGGACACAGCCTGAGGGCCGCCTGCACTTTGCTGGGGAATACACGGCCTTCCCCCACGGATGGGTGGAGACAGCCATCAAGTCAGGGCTACGAGCAGCCCAGAAGATACACAGGGCTACCTAGGGGCCCTAGGGCAGGCCCCTTTATGTCCACAAGGCCCAGGAGCCTCCCTCAATCAGTAGCCCCCTGCCAGGGCTGCAGGGGGGTCAGAAGGCCCTGCCTCCACTGGGCCCCTGCTCAGCCAGGGTGGTAGAGGCGCCAGAAGGTCCTGCCTCCACTGGGCCCCTGCTCAGCCAGGGAGGCGGGGGGGGGGGGCCAAGAAGGCCCTGCCTCCACTGGGCCCCTGCTGAGCCAGGGCGGCAGGGGGGCCAAGAAGGCCCTGCCTCCACTGGGCCCTTGCTTGTCCAGGGTCAGACATGGACCCAGGAAGGCCACGTGGTCAGCTACCCACAGCCTCCAGGCAGGGGTGATCAGGAAAAGCCAATTAAAAGATCTGTAGTGTATAACCTAAATCAGACTACATGCCGTCTTGATGAGGGAAGATGGAAGGCAGGGGAAAAATATTCAGAACTCAAAATCTTATAAAAATAAATGTTGAAAACTGGAAAAAATAAATTTGTAGAAAGAGGTCTCCTGTTCCCATTCACTGTGCAGAGCTCCCATGACCCCTTCCTTCCCCGAGACCTTTCTCAAAGTGTCCTCCCTGAAGCCAGTTCCCTGGCTCCCCTCCTTGGGGTAAGAGGAAACTCCGACTGCCCACAACACAGCAAGGCCAACATGAGCATCAAAGTGACCCCGTTTAATGGGCAGAAAGAAAGTGTCCTCCCAGGATGAGAGGGCAAGACCCACCCCCATCCACACCAGGTCTGGTGAGGATGTTACCCCCAGCCTCCTCGCCCCAGGTCAGGGATCCGAGAAGAAAAGGCAGAGTTTTGGACAAGTGAGAGGGAGGGGTAAAGTGCATGTGCGGGGAGTGTGGGAGAGGCAGAGTCAGTGAGGACCACGTCAGGGTATAACACTCAGGGATCTGGCCCCGAGTCCTCAGGCAGTATCTCCAGGCTGCTGTCTGCCTGGGGAGTGGGAGAAGGACCCCCAGAAACGGAGGACGGGGCTTCAGGAGCTGGGGTGGGTGACAAGGGCAGAGGTGAGCCTGAGGGGGAGGGGCTGCCCGGCGTAGAAGCTGGGGCTGGGCTCAGACCCAGGATCTCCTGCACGTTGTGGGGCAGCTCCTGGGGGGAGAGGCAGAGGCCAGAGTGAGGGGGGAAGGGTCCACAGCATGGTTCAGAGCAGATCTTACGGGAGGGCTAAGAACAGTGGATTAAGGAAAGGCAGGAAATCAGGTGGGAAGGGATGAGGGTGAGGGCAGGGAGTGTCTTAGGTCTCACCTGACAGGCTGTCAGCTGCATATACAATGCTTGGGCCTGGGTCAGGACATCTTCCACACTCAGCTTCATAGTAAGTTCATTAATGTGCTGAGAGGAGCAGACAGGACAGTCTCAGGGAGGGGACTTCCCCAGGGGCTTTGGGGAGGAGAGAGCAGGGGCCCATG